CCTCCCTATCCTCATAATATTTGCTTTCTACCTCCTCTTTCCTTCATATCACACACCTAAAATCATAAGCATTTTAACAGTAAACGCTCTAATCTAAAACTTTAACCTCTTTCAGGTCAAGGGTCAATCATTATCTACCCTCTCTATCCCCATAATCGTTAATTCTTACCTCCACCCCTTTTTTCGTCATCCATCTTATTGATCAGAACCATATTAAAAGAAACGCTTTACATTACGATCTTTGCTTCTTCAAGTTAAGGGTCAATCGTTATCTATCCTCCCTATCCTCATGATCTTCACTTCCTACCACCTCCTTTTTCCCTCATCGTCCATCTCATTCATCAGAACCATTTTAACAGTAACGCTTTACACTACGATCTTTGCTTCTTCAAGTTAAGGGTCAATCGTTATCTATCCTCCCTATCCTCCTGATCCTCACTTCCTACCACCTCCTCTTTCCCTCATCATCCATCTCATTCATCAGAACCATTTTAACAGTAACGCTTTACACTACGATCTTTGCTTCTTCAAGTTAAGGGTCATACGTTATCTATCCTCCCTATCCTCATAATTTCTTACCACCTAATTAAGCAATACCTTTTTGAATGTAACGCTTTGTATTGAGTGGCTCTCGAACCTTCTACTGTGTGAAATTCAGTGTTTTTAAAAAAAATCTAGCTGCTGTCTTTGTTTATTTTACTGGAACCTAAGCAAAGAACGAATTATGCAAATAAAATGCCATCATGATATTTAAATATATATTTTTCCCGGGTATAATCAAGTAGCCTGGGCATCAGATCACACACAGGTGTCACTCGCTTGATTTGTCTGTGTACGGCAAGTTTCTTTATATATATATATGTATTTTTTTTTCTGAATCAATTAATTGATCAGGAAAGTAATTTTGCGCGATCGATAGACAGAGAAGTCACGGTGCGCTTTAGGAGTGTGGTTGAGGGTGGGTGTGTCGGGGTTGTTAGACACATAGGTAACTCGGTAGATGTGTACGGAGCGTTTGTCTCAGATCAGTCGATATATTTGTAAATAGTTTAGAAAAAGATGGAAATGGCGAACCAGAGTCTAGGAGACTGAGTAATTGTCACGCAGACATACTGAAAGATAAACAGTTAATGTTAACCGTACACGCATGCGCGCTAATGCATACAACAGGCAGACATGGGCGCGCATGCGTACTTATACTACCACACACTCGCAATTCATTAAAGTTTCCTACTTGTTCCTTGTTTATATATATATATATATATATATATATATATATATATGTTTCGATCCGGGCTTGAGGCATTCGGTTGTTTAGTCGCACTGAGGAGCTGTGATACAGCGAAATAGTACTGTCTGCGAATCACACACACACACACACACACACACACACACACACACACACACACACACACAATTACACACACACACACACACACACATATATATATATATATATATATATATATAGCGAGTGGAACAGCAACATTATCCAAATCGTGTAACAGCAAAATTGTCCAATTGTTCGATTAAGCTCTGAACCGTTGTATCTTAGAAATAATTAAAGATATATTACCGAGGTTTCTATAACACGCCAGAACTCTAATTTGAGCAACAAGATAAGTATAATTACTCTCCAAGCTTAATAGAAAATCGTGATGAAATCGGTCATAAACAAAAATGCCATGTTCATCATTAATTAACCATAGCTAAAGATCGGAATCTCAGGAAGGAGTGAAATAATGTTCATATATATATATATATATATATATATATATATATATATATATATATATATATATATATATATATATTCTTAGTTTATATATATATATATATATATATATATATATAGATAGATAGATAGATATATCTTCCAGTTTTATACATATATATATATTTATATATATATATATATATATATATATATATATATATTCCAGGATAATTTTCAAACTTATTCAAGATGATCTTCGCCCTCTCTAATCTTCTACCTTTCTGTCCTGAAATAACAAGTTGCCTCAAACGCTTCACGTACGATTTCATTTTCAAGACTTTTTTCACTGCTGTCATAGCTAAAACTCCTCTCTCGCGTGCCAAACGTCTTATGAATTGAGTTGTATCTTTTCTAATTGATCATTTTAATTCCAAGTTGAATTGATGATCCCTCTTCTTACTGTGACCTCTTGATCCAGTTTCCCTCTCTACTGTTCCCTCTTTTTTAAACTTATTCTCCGTTCTCTTGATGGTTTATTAATGTATTTTGAAGATGGCAGCTGATATGTCCCGGAAAAGGGATATATTTGAACGAAGTAGCTAAGCGGTTTTGGCTACTATAACCAAGTAGAATACGGTAGCAGTAATCGACTGTTACGCGTCGTAGTCGCAGGTAAGAAGTGTAGATCAATGGCGTAGTCCAATGGGCGTCGTTATAGACTTAGCTCTCAGACTAAGGCTCTTTGACTCTGTCGTACCTACACGTCAGTCGGTATTTATGACGGACACCAGCCAATCATATTCCAGTGAGGGGGAACAGAGCTGTATGCATATTCCATTATATCAGTTTATATATTTATATATATATATATATATATTTATAAAAGAAATATGTTGTAGTGGTTCCAACGAGAGAAAAGTATGTATATTAAAAAGAAGAGGGGTGCCGCAAACGTTTTTGGTTGTAATGTGGATTTATTGAGAAAAAATATTATACTTTGTTTTACATAATTTCACGACACGTGTTTCTGGTCTGGTCTCGCAACCGTCTTCAGGTGAAAGTGGAGATTTTTACATATTATTAAAAATAATTAATTTTTCTTCATGTTCAATGTGGAATATTCTCGATATGAGACATTCTGTTTGTGTGTTGGCAATCCGAATTTTCTTTCTAGAATTGTCAATGAAGAGTTCTGCGTGAAGGGTCATAAAACAATTAAGGTTTGTCCAGCGAGTAGTTATCGGCATTTAATCTTTTAATGTTTTAGTGACCTCTATGTGCTCTTGGATCTATTTCTATTTTATATTTATTATATATATATATATATATATATATATATATATATATATATGTATATGTAGAGAGAGAGAGAGAGAGAGAGAGAGAGAGAGAGAGAGAGAGAGAGACGGATATGTCCCGGAAAGGGATATATTTGAACGAAGTAGCTAAGTGGTTTTGGCTACTATAACCAAGTAGAATACGGTAGCAGTAATCAACTGGTACGCGTCGTAGTCGCAGGTAAGAAGTGTAGATAAAATGGCGTAGTCCAATGGGCGTCGTTATAGACTTAGCTCTGAGACTAAGGCTCTTTGATTCTGTCGTACCTACACGTCCGTCGGTATTTATGACGGACACCAGCCAATCATATTCCAATGAGGGGTAACACAGGTGTACGCATATTCAATTATATCAGAAACAAGAGTATGAATGTTGGTACAAGGACTGAATGATCATTTTCCACTCACTATTGCTCATTTGGGAAGACAGTGTGTCTGACACAAATCGTTTTTATCTGTTCTCTTTTTAGCTGAAAAAACTTAAAAAGGTTTTTAATTGATTCTTACGACAAACGGCCTGAACATGGTTAAACGTCTTATCTAAAAACTTGGGAAAAGGAACTTTTTTTTTTTTTTTTTTTTTTAGATATTAAACATTTTGTGGGCTGGATAATTATGCTGTTACACGATTTGGGGAATTTTGCTGTTACACCAGGTATTTCTAATGGATGGTTTGAAATCAATTTTGTCCTTCTCCTAGACCGGTTGTCGCCTAAGGCTGTAGGACCCAACCTCTCCTGCTGCTTAACCATAACTAGAGGTGGGGAGAAAAGATAGATACATACCTTTCCCAGTAGTATTTACGCGTAAATGAACTCAACGAACTCGACCGGAATTCGACCTCCGCTCTCAATCCGAGCCGCTATCCAATACTCCACCGTACCTCATAGGATAAATATATAATGTGAATTCCGATTTATTTATTCGAAAATATTTGCAGATATTTATTTAGTTGTCTGAGATTTTATTCGGCCCCACAAGGCTTGTTCGATAATATAATTATTGATAATTATTTCTTAACTTCAATTACGCTTTATTTCACCAGGCTGCTGTCCGGTGGGACAATCCTGAGTATAGAATTTGGAGCCTTAAATGTAATATGCCTATTGTTGATAATTGTATAATTATTAATATTTATTTCTTAAGTTTAAATATACACAGAGGTTTTCGTAAGAATAACATAACGTCATAACGCCATAATATAAACAAGGTATTGTAATTATTTACATTATTCGGACTTTTTATCGTCATCTTCATTGCCATATTCACAACGTCTCTGGCGTTGTACTTTCCGGCCTTCTTCAGGGGGTTGGAATTTCGAACCAAAGCCTTTATTTCGTCCAGCGGAGTAGATTGGCCCGGTGGATAAAGGCGTTAGTTAGATCCAGTGATTCGATCCAAAGAGCTGTGAGTTCAGTACCAGGCCACGGCAGTGGCGAACCAAAACTTGAAATGTTGAGTTGAACTGAGACATCCGGAAGAGGCATGGCACGTGGAACTAGAACAATCTACCCCGGTGAACGAAATAAAGGGTTCGAGTCGAAATTCCAATCCAACTGAAGAAGACCAGAGTGTCCAACAGCCGAAACGCCGTGAATATTGCAATGAAGATGAGAATAACAGTTCGAATAATGTAAAAAAAGTGTAAATGATAATAATACTTCATCTCAGAGATATAGACAGACTTCGGAATCTCCTGCAACTCTTCTGGGCGTTTTCATTGTTTAAATTGGTGAATCCTTGCCGTCAGGTCATCTTTGGCGTTACAGTATTTATGAATAAAATAATTAATTTCTACGATATAGCCGTACACTTAGCATTAGCACTTACACTGGGACTTTTCTTTGGAGCCATGAGTAAAAATGTATTCAAAATCACAATTGAAATGTAATTGAAAAAGGAGGTATTGAAGGTATTGTAAGGTTGCCGAATAGTTGGAACCCAACGCTTGTAACTGTGAACAGAGACGAACAGAAATCAAAGAACTATAAAAAAAAAAAGTAACTGCCGCCATCAGGGAAATTCGAAGCATTTAAGAATCCTTTACGCGGGTGGAGTTTTTTTTTTTTTTCGTTTCGCTGCCCACATCTTGTTTTTAATTCATTATATTCAGTTATTGGGCGTCCTGTTTCCACCGAGTCTAATTCCGTAATACCCGGCTCAGGGATCGAACTCATATTTATTGTGCCGCCAAACTCACAAACCAAAATTTTAAACCACTAACCTATGCATTATTATTCAGAATTATCCAGGAACGCATTTGTCAAGGGATGCAAATGTCCAGGAATGCAAATGGGTGGTACGCAATTGTCCTGGACGTAAATGTCCAAGAATCATAGAAGAAAGCATTGTTATTAGCCAAAAATAAAAAAAAAATAAAATAAATAAAAATAAATAAATAAAAAGAAGACAGACCAATATGCAAATTAAAGATTGGACAACTAAATTAATTTAAATATCTTGGAAGTGTTTTAACAGGACGGAAAGTGCGACACTGAAATCCAAAGGCGCATTAGAATAGTGAAAGATGCTTTCTAAAATCTAAGCAAATTATCAAGCAACAGGAAAAGAATCGTTAAAAAAAAAGGTAAAAAATTATCAGAGGTACGAAAATTATACAGTGACGCATTTGTCTAGTGACGCAAATGTTCGTCCACCAATCCGCTACTTAATAAAATTAAGAAAAGGGTTCAATTCGACTCATACATGATGAAAATCGGAATTCAAAACGGCCGAAAAGTTGTGAAAATCACAACAAATATAGGGTGTTCTCAAGGACACATGGCACAGTGGATAAAGGCGTTGGTTAGATCCAGTGACAAAACCCAAAGAGTGCGAGTTCAATACCCGGTTAAGGCAATGGAGAACTTGGAGAGGGGAATTAACAGGAGATAACTGATAACTGACATCCATTAAACATGACACGTGGAACTAGAACAGTATATCTAAGTGAGCGAAATAAAGGGTTCAGTTCGAAACTCCAACCACCTGAAGAAGCTTACAATGGCTGAAACATTGTAATAAATATGGCGACAAAGATGAGGACAATAGTCCGAATAATGTAAATAGTGTAAATAAGGGGTGTTCCAATAAATTGAACTAATTTTAAATGTGAATTAAGTTTAAGCGTCTAATGATTTTTTTTCCTTTTTCTTTCAGATTTAACAACTTAAGACTTTGGCAATTTCTAAAGATTAACAAGCAAACAATGTGTTAAAGTTATCGAAGCCGATTACGAAAATGGACGTTGAAATTTATAAATATACAGCCCAATGATTCTGCTAGCAAAAAATGCACACCAAACAGCGACCTTTTGTGGATGCAGTGGCTTTTCAACAATCTTCCTTGGATTTTTATCAACCCAAATGCGACAATTATACTTAACTAATGAATCCACCAAGAAAATGGGCTTCATCATTGCAAAAAATCTCCATCATCTTGTCTTTGCTCATGCACCTAATTGACTAATGTACGGCGCTCCAAAATTACCAGCAGCGTTCAGTTCTTGTGTCAATTGAAATTTTTAAGCGTGTAGAGACAAATCTTTTGTGAAAATTCAATGTAACCTTGTTGTGGGGAGGTTCAATTCTTGTGCTCGATGACGAATAGAGGGGTCTGGATTTTCGGCCACATTCTTGTGCACTTCCTGCAATATTTTCAGCTGAACGGCGTGAACGAGCACGCACTGATGTTTTAACATCTGTCAGCGACCCAGTTTGAATTTACGAACAATTTTTTCAATTGCACTCTCGGTTGGCCAATTATGTTGACCAAAAAAATCGCGAAATGCATTTCTGTTTAAACAACCATTGAAAATTGCGATAATAACAACAATGATAAGGATAGTATTTCGTGTGTAAATAACGTAAATGCAGTCCTCATTCAAGAAATTCAGAAAGAAAGAAAAATTTGAAAAAGATGCTTGGAGGAATATCACAAGAAAGATAAGCAAGAAATATAAGCAAGAAAGGAAATTAAAATAGCAATAAGCAAGAAATCGAAATAAGCAAGAAATAGCAATAAGCAAGAAATAGAAATAAGAAAACCAAAGCAAGAAATGAAAGAAAGAAATGACAAAAGCAAGAAATAGCAATGAGCAAGAAATGGAAATAAAAGAAATTGGAAATAAGAAAGAAATGGAAATAAGAAAGAAATAGAAATAAGTAAGAAATGGAAATAAGAAATGAAATAGCATGAAATAGCAAGAAATTAAAATAAGCAAGAAATGACAATAAGCAAGAAATAGCAATAAGCAAGAAATGGCAATAAGCAAGAAATAGCAATAAGCAAGGAATGGAAATAAGCAAGAAATAGCAATAAGCAAGAAATGGAAATAAGTAAGAAATAGCAATTAAGAAATGGAAATAAGCAAGAAATAGCAATAAGCAAGAAATGACAATAAGCAAGAAATAGCAATAAGCAAGGAATGGAAATAAGCAAGAAATAGCAATAAGCAAGAAATGAAATAAGCAAGAAATAGCAATAAGTAAGAAATGGAAATAAGCAAGAAATAGGAATAAGAAAGAAATGGAAATAAGAAGAAAAATAATAAGAAATGGAATAAGCAAGAAATGGAAATAATTAAGAAATGGAAATAAGTAAGAAATAGCAAAAGCAAGAAAAGAAATAAGTAATAAATGACAATAAGCAAGAAATGGCAATAAGAAATGGAAATAAGCAAGAAATAGTAAGAAAATATAATAAGAAAGAAAAAGAAATAAAGCAAGAAATGGAAATAAGCAATAAGCAAGAAATGGGCAAGAAAAGTAAAAGAAATGGAAATAAGCAAGAAATAGCAATAAGTAAGAAATGAAATAAGCAAGAAATAGCAATAACAAGAAAAGAAATAAGCAAGAAATGATAAGAAAAATAAGCAAGAAATGGAAATAATAAGAAATGGAAAGCAAGAAATGGAAATAAGCAAGAAATAGTAAGTAAAGAAATGGAAATAAGTAAGAAATAGCAATAAGCAAAGAAATGACAATAAGCAAGAAATAAATGATAAATAAGAAAGAAATGGAAATAAGCAAGAAATAGCAATAAGTAAGAAATGGATATACAAGAAAATAACAAGAATGGAAATAAATAAGAAATAAATAAGAAATAGAAATAGCAAGAAAAGCAAGAAAGAAATGTAAATAACAAGAAATAGCAATAAGTAAGAAATGGAAATAAGCAAGAAAATGACAATAAGCAACAAATGGAAATAAGCAAGAAATGGAAATAAAAGAAATAAATAAGCAAGAAATGGTAATAAGAAATACAAGAAATGTAATAAGCAAGAAAAATAAGCAAGAAATGGAAATAAGTAAGAAATACCAATAAATTAAGAAATGGAAATAAGCAAGAAATAGCAATAAGCAAAAAAGCAATAAGCAAGAAATGGAAAGCAAGAAATGACAATAAGCAAGAAGAAATGGCAATAATCAAGTAAGAAATGGAAATAAGCAAGAAATAGCTTAGAAATAATAAGAAATGGAAATAAAGAAATGGAAACAAGCAAAAAATAGCAATAAGTAAGAAAATGGAAATAAGAAATAAAAAATGGAAATAAGAAAGAAATTGCAAAATAAGAAAGAAATAAGAAATAAGAGCAAGAAATGGAAATAACAAGAAATGAAATAAACAATAAGCAAGTAAGAAATTAAAATAACCAAGAAATAGACAATAAGCAAGAAAGGAAATAGCAAGATATAGCAATAAGAAATGGAAATAAGCAAGAAATAGCAATAAGCAAGAAATGGAAATAAGTAAGAAATAGCAAGTAAGAAATAGAAACAATAAGAAATAGCAATAAGTAAGAAATGGAAACAAGAAAAGAAATAAGCAATAAATGACAATAAGCAAGAAATGGCAATAAGCAAGAAATGGAAATAAGCAAGAAATAGCAATAAGAAATAGCAATAAGCAAGAAATAGCAATGAGCAAGAAATGGAAATAAACAAGAAATAGCAATAAGTAAGAAATGGAAATAAGCAAAAAATAGCAATAAGAAAGAAATGGAAATAAGTAAGAAATAGTAAGTAAGAAATGGAAATACAAGAAATAGAAAGTAAAATGGAAATAAGAAATAGCAATAAAAAGAAATTAAAAAACCAAGAAAAATGACAATAAGAAAAGCTTAAAAGAAATGGAAATGAAAGACAAGAAAGCAAGAAATGGAAATAAGCAAGAAATAGCAATAAGCAAGAAATGGAAATAAGCAAGAAATAGCAATAAGTAAGAAATGGAAATAAGCAAGAAATAGCAATAAGAAAGAAATGGAAATAAGTAAGAAATAGCAAGTAAGAAATGGAAATAAGCAAGAAATAGCAATAAGTAAGAAATGGAAATAAGCAAGAAATAGCAATAAGCAAGAAAAGAAATAAGCAATAAATGACAATAAGCAAGAAATGTAAATAAGAAAAAAAAAGCAAGAAATAGAAATAAGAAAAAATGAGCAAGAAATAAATGAGCAAGAAATGGAAATAAGCAAGAAAATGGAAATAAACAAGAAATGGCTATAAGAAAGAAATGGAAATAAGAAAGATAGAAATAAGTAAGAAAATGGAAATAAGCAAGAAATAGCAATAAGTAAGAAATGAAATAAGCAAGAAATAGCAATAAGCAAGAAAAGAAATAAAATAAAATGACAATAAGCAAGAAATGGCAATAAGCAAGAAATGGAAATAAAAAAAATAGCAATAAGTAAAACGTAATAAGCAAGAAATAGCAATGAGCAAGAAATGGAAATAAGCAAGAAAATGGAAATAAACAAGAAATAGCAATAAGAAAGAAAGAAATAAGTAAGAAATAGCAATAAGTAAGAAATGGAAATAAGCAAGAAAAAGAAATAAGCAAGAAAAGAAACAAGAAATGGCAATAAGCAAGAAATGGAAAACAAGAAATAGCAATAAAAGAAATGGAAATAAGCAAGAAATAGCAATAAGCAAGAAATGGAAATAAGCAAGAAATAGCAAGAAAGAAACAAGAAATGGAAACAAAGAAAAGAAATAGCAATTAAAAATGGAAATAGCATGAAATAGCAATAAGCAAGAAATGGAAATAAGAAAAATGACAATAATGGCAAGAAATGGCAATAATCAAGAAATGACAATAAGCAAGAAATAGCAATAAGCAAGAAATGGAAATAAGCAAGAAATAGCAATGAGCAAGAAATGGAAATAAGTAAGAAATAGCAAGTAAGAAATAGAAATAAGCAAGAAATAGCAATAAGTAAGAAATGTAAATAAGCAAGAAATAGCAATAACAAGAATTGAAATAAGCAATAAAATGACAATAAAGCAAAAGAAATGAAATAAGCAAGAAATGGAAATAAACAAGAAATAGCAATAAGCAAGAATTGGAAATAAGTAAGAAATAGCAAGCAAGAAATTGCAATAAGCAAGAAATTGCAATAAGTAAGAAATGGAAATAAGCAATAAATAGCAATAAGCAAGAAATGGAAATAAGCAAGAAATAGAAAGCAAGAAAATGGAAATAAGTAAGAAATAGCAATAAGCAAGAAATGGAAATAAGCAAGAAATAGCAATAAGAAAAAGAAATAAGCAAAAAAAAGAAATGGAAATAAGCAAGAAATAGTAATAAGCAAGAAATGGAAATAAGCAAGAAATAGCAAAAACAAAAATGGCAAGTAAGAAATTGCAATAAGTAAGAAATGGAAATAAGCAAGAAAGAAATGAGCAAGAAATGGAAATAAGCAAGAAATGGAAATAAACAAGAAATAGCAATAAATAAGAAATGGAAATAAGCAAGAAATAGCAATAAGAAAGAAATGGAAATAACCAAGAAATAATAAAAGAAATGGAATAAACAAGAAATAGCAATAAGCAAGAAATTAAAATAAGCAAAAAATGACAATAAGCAAGAAATAGAAATAACAAGAAATGGAAATAAGCAAGAAATAGCAATAAGCAAGGAATGGAAATAAGCAAGAAATAGCAATAAGCAAGAAATGGAAATAAGTAAGAAATAGCAATTAAGAAATGGAAATAAGCAAGAAATAGCAATAAGCAAGAAATGGAAATAAGCAATAAATGACAATAAGCAAGAAATGGAAATAATCAAGAAATGGAAATAAGAAATGGAAATAAGTAAGAAAGTAAAATGGAGAAATAAGCAAGAAATGACAATAAGCAAGAAATGAAAATAACAAGAAATAGAAATAAGCAAGAAATAGAAATAAGAAATGGAAATAAGTTTAGAAAATAATGAGCAAGAAATGGAAATAAGCAAGAAATAGACAATAAGAAAGAAATGTAAGAAATAAGTAAGAAATGGAAATAAACAAGAAATAGCAATAAGCAAGAATTGAAATGAGTAAATGAAATAGCAAGAAAATAAATTGCAAAAAATGGAAATAAACAAGAAATAGCAATAAGCAAGAAATGGAAAAATAAGAAATAGCAAGAAACAAGCAATAACCAAGAAATAGCAATAAGTAAGAAATGGAAATAAGTAAGAAATAGCAATAAGCAAGAAATGGAAATGGAAATAGAAACAATGTAAGAAATAGCTATAAGCAAGAAATGGAAATAACAAGAAATAGCAATAAGCAAGAAATGGAAATACAAGAAAATAGCAAGTAAGAAATGGAAATAAACAAGAAATGGAAATACAAGAAATAATAAGCAAGAAATGGAAATAAGCAAGAAATGGAAATAAACAAGAAATAGCAATACGTAAGAAATGGAAATAAACAAGAAATAGCAATACGTAAGAAATGGAAATAAGCAAGAAATAGCAAGAAGAAAGAAATGGAAATAAGTAAGAAATAGCAATAAGTAAGAAATGGAAATAACCATGAAATAGCAATAAGCAAGAAATTAAAATAAGCAAGAAATGACAATAAGCAAGAAATAGCAATAAATTAAGAAATGGAATAAGCAAGAAATAGCAATAAAAGAAATGGAAATAAGCAAGAAATAGCAATAAGCAAGAAATGGGTAAGAATAGGCTAAGAAATGGAAGTAAGAAATGGAAATAAGCAAGAAATAGCAATAAGTAAGAAAATGGAAATAAACAAGAAATAGCAATAAGCAAGAAAAGAAATAAGCAATAAATGAACAAAAAATGGCAATAACAAGAATGGAAATAAGCAAGAAATAGCAATAAGAAAAATGGAAATAAGTAAGAAATAGCAATAAGTAAGAAATGAAATAACAAGAAATAGCAATACAAGAAATGGAAATACAAGAAATAATAAGAAAATAACAAGAAAATGGAAATAAGCAAGAAATGACAAGAAAAGAAAGAAATACAAGAAATAGAATAAGCAAGAAATGGAAATAAGCAAGAAAACAAGTAAAATGGAAATAAGCAAGAAATGGAAATAAGTAAGAAAAAATAAGCAAGAAAAGAAATAAGCAATAAATGACAATAAGCAAGAAAATGGTAATAACAAGAAATGGAAATACGCAAGAAATAGCAATAAGTAAGAAATGGAAATAAGCAAGAAATAGCAATGAGCAAGAAAATGGAAATAACAAGAAATAGCAATAACAAGAAATGGAAATAAGTAAGAAATAAAAATAAGAAAATGGAAATAAGCAAGAAATGCAATACGCAAGAAATGGAAATAAAAGAAATAGCAAGAAAGAAATGACAATAAGCAAGAAATAGCAATAAGCAAGAAATGGAAATAAGCAAGAAATAGCAATAAGTAAGAAATGGAAATAAGCAAGAAATAGCAATAAGCAAGAAATGGAAATAAGCAAGAAATAGCAATAAGTAAGAAATGGAAATAAGCAAGAAATAGCAATAAGCAAGAAATGGAAATAAGTATGCAGAAAAATAAGTAAGAAATGGAAATACAACAAAATGGAAATAGCAGAAAATGGAAATGACAATAAGCAAGAAAGAAATAAGCAATAAAATGAAATAAAAACAAGAAATGGCAATAAGCAAGAAATGGAAATAAGCAAGAAATAGAAATAAGTAAGAAATGGAAATAAGCAAGAAATAGCAATAAGCAAGAAATGGAAATAAGCAAGAAATAAATGAATGGAAATAACAATAAAATACAAGAAATAAGCAAGAAATGGAAATAAACAAGAAATAGCAATAAGCAAGAATTGGAAAATAAGTAAGAAATAGCAAGCAAGAAAGCAAGAAATTGCAATAAGTAAGAAAGAAAAAATAGCAATAAGCAATAGAAATGGAAATAAGCAAGAAATAGCAATAAGGAAGAAATAGCTATAAGCAAGAAATGGAAATAAGTAAGAAATAGCAATAAGAAAGAAATGGAAATACGTAGAAAATAGCAAGTAAGAAATGGAAATAAGCAAGAAATGGAAATAAGCAAGAAATAGCAATAAGCAAGAAATAGCAATAAGCAAGAAATGGAAATAAGCAAGAAATGGAAATAAGCAAGAAATGGAAATAAAACAAGAAATAGTAATATGTAAGAAATGGAAATAAACAAGAAATAGGAAATAAGAAATGGAAATAAGCAAGAAATAGCAATAAGAAAGAAATGGAAATAAGTAAGAAATAGCAATAAGTAAGAAATGGAAATAACCATGAAATAGCAATAAGCAAGAAATTAAAATAAGCAAGAAATGACAATAAGCAAGAAATAGCAATAAACAAGAATTGGCAATAAGCAAGAAATAGCAATAAGCAAGGAATGGAAATAAACAAGAAATAGCAATAAGCAAGAAATGGAAATAAGTAAGAAATAGCAAGTAAGAAATGGAAATAAGCAAGAAATAGCAATAAGTAAGAAATGGAAATAAGCAAGAAATAGCAATAAGCAAGAAAAGAAATAAGCAATAAATGACAATAAGCAAGAAATGGCAATAAGCAAGAAATGGAAATAAGCAAGAAATAGCAATAAGTAAGAAATGGAAATAAGCAAGAAATAGCAATGAGCAAGAAATGGAAATAAGCAAGAAATAATAAGTAAGAAATGGAAATAAGCAAGAAATAGCAATAAGCAAGAAATGACAATAAGCAAGAAATAGCAATAAGCAAGGAATGGAAATAAGCAAGAAATAGCAATAAGCAAGAAATGGAAATAAGCAAGAAATGGAAATAAGTAAGAAATGGAAATAAGCAAGAAATGGAAATAAGCAAGAAATGGCAATAAGCAAGAAATGGAAATAAGCAAGAAATAGCAATAAGCAAGAAATGAAATAAGCAAGAAATAGCAATAAAAGAAAGAAATAAGCAAGAAATGGAAATAAGCAAGAAATGGAAATAAGTAAGAAATGGAAATAAGCAAGAAATGGAAATAAGCAAGAAATAGCAATAAGCAAGAAATGGAAATAAGTAAGAAATAGCAATTAAGAAATGGAAATAAGCATGAAATAGCAATAAGCAAGAAATGGAAATAAGCAATAAATGACAATAAGCAAGAAATGGCAATAATCAAGAAATGGAAATAAGCAAGAAATAGCAATAAGTAAGAAATGGATATAAGCAAGAAATAGCAATAAGCAAGAAATGGAAATAAGTAAGAAATAGCAATTAAGAAATAGAAATAAGCAAGAAATAACAATAAGCAAGAATTGGAAATAAGCAATAAATGACAATAAGCAAGAAATGGAAATAAGCAAGAAATGGAAATAAACAAGAAATAGCAATAAGCAAGAATTGGAAATAAGTAAGAAATAGCAAGCAAGAAATTGCAATAAGCAAGAAATTGCAATAAGCAAGAAATGGAAATAAGCAAGAAATAGCAATAACCAAGAAATAGCAATAAGCAAGAAATGGAAATACGTAAGAAATAGCAATAAGCAAGAAATGGAAATACGTAAGAAATAGCAAGTAAGAAATGGAAATAAGCAAGAAATGGAAATAAGCAAGAAATGGAAATAAGCAAGAATTGGAAATAAGCAAGACTATATATCAAGACGATAGTATTCCGAATAAAAAGCGAAACTATGCAAAATATTAAGAAAAGAAGCGAAAACGAGCAAAGCAAGGTAACCATTTTAATTTTCATTGAACATCGCAATGGTAACTACCGCATATATTCGAGTCTAGCGCCAGCTTTTATGATCAGTTGTTTTACGCAAAAATTTAGATGATTCGCACTATACAGCGGTAATTTGTTTTGAAGAGGTTAAAAATCATCATTACGGGTTGCACTATACACACGTAAATCTTTTCTGGAGGTGTTAAAATTCGTGCAATTACAGTGAAGGTAACCCACCTGGTAGGCCTACATTCTCACGATATATTTGATTAATTTTAACATCACACGTAAGTTCCATTACCTTTATAAAATTTGTAAGTGGCTTGGCGAGTCCTGGCCGTAAAGGTTGGACCTGCGAGCCAAGGAATGATATTCGTCCGAGCACGTTCCATGGAACTGGCGACAGAGCAGTGAGAGACCCGCCACATCCCGCCTGTGAGAGACAGAGTTTGGAGAGTAGAAAATAATTCTTCTCCTAAGGACTTAGAGACGCTTTCGAACACTCTCAAGAACGGAAAATGAGGATTGGGCATCTCCCTCTCAAATGTAGTATTCCATTTTCGGCCTGATCTGGCGCTTATAAAAATAGAGGATGGCATGGGGAGTGGTACAGGGAGCCGATTATTTTACCACCATTCTTAACGATGGATCGTATATAAGGGATCCACTTCAGGTCGGGTGTGAAGTTTTCTGGACCCAGTCAAATTGATGGACTCCTCACACGCTGTTTTAGATAAGTATACTTAAAAAAATATGCATTAAAATATGTTTTGGACAATTTAAACTAAAAATTAATTCAAAATCAGAGTCTTGGGTATAATAAACTACATATTCACTAACCGCCCCACGCGGTCGGATGTGGCACAAGGCCGAGTTTATTTTTGGGTATCCGAGCCTGTAGGCTCGGGCAAAAATTCCCCATAGATCGGGGTCGGGTAGCTATCTACCGCGCCAGACGAGACTCTGCTCTTTGGCATAGCCGCGTCGGGGTTCCTCTCTGCCCGGAGGCAGAGAGTTTGACCAGCACACTGTGGAAGACCCCAGCGAATCAATAAACTACATAGACTGTTAGTTTAATGATCAGTGTTTTACGAAAGAAAAAAAATTACACAATTTCAGTCGTGTTTCGATGCGCATCAAATACATCTCATCAGGCGATTGTAAATTATTGGCGAGCGAACGATTTATTTAGATTTAAAAGCTAAAGACAACCTCTTTTTATGAAAAACATTTAAAAACATTTAAAAAGGCGGGTGCTTATAAGGTTTATGGGCTTCACTTTGATTAACTAATCAAATATGTCCTACGCTAAATTTAAACTAAGCAAAGATCAAAAATAGAAATAAAAATTATAAAGGGTCATGACCCGTAGATTGGCAGCTAACGGTAGCTATGAACTAAAGTGGATATAAATGATAACATCAGTTATACAGATTAGACAATCCCGATGTGGAGGGATTTAGATACGCTTTCAGTGTAATATCTTAAAATAAATTATATTAATCAAATAACACGGATTATTGAGTCCTCTTTTAACTTAAATATTAGGAACGTTGGAATCGTACTCAATTCATTCTTATCGTACCTGGATATATATATATATATATATATATATATATATGTGTGTGTGTGTGTGTGTGTGTGTATAAGATAGAAATTAAGGAGGATTTGAGATAATTAAGTAATTCATCGAGTCTAAAAGAAACCTCAACAGAATACACTGGAGGGCTGTTTCGTCCGATATTTCGGACTCATCAGCAGTGCGTATCCACTACCGAGAATTGAAACACGGACAGTTACATTGACAGGCAAACGTCATACCAACTGTACTAGCTGGCCTCGGTGACGACGGGGTAACGAACTAGACTCGATATTGCGCCGCTCGTTCATATATTCCGTGGTGGAACTCATCGAAGTTCCTTTACTCATAGGACTGTGCCTCCGAGAGCCACGACTAGTATCACCAGCCCTCCATCCATATATATATATATATATATATATATATATATATATATATATATATATATATATATAATGGACTCGGTTTCGACGTATGAGGATCTGACAGCTTACTTGATTCAGTTATGAAATTTTGTGCGATAATCTTAAGTAGCACTTAACACCCGCTAGTGATTTACAAAGGAGGGCACATATGGTGCAAGAATGAGGACTATGGGATGAGATCAATGTTAGATTGGCTGACCTTTTAGATCTTGCTCTCGCTTCTTGAAGACGATTGAGACAAGCAGATTGAATTCGAGAGGATTAAAATAAACATTCAACGAAACATGCTTGAATATATATATATCGAATAAAACTTAAAGGTGAAAAATGGTGGGGTCGTCTTATACACGCTGTCAGAAATTTTTACACGGCTTAAAATATAAACTCCTATTTGGAACATCAATTTTGCAAATACACTCAGCACAATAGATAAGAAAACACGAAAATCGTTGATAACAATTGTTTACAAAAGGTATTTGATATATTGGCAATATTTTGTTCTTTGATAATAAGCAGCGTAATTGGACACCTATTGTTTCAGAGAAACCGAAATTATATAAAATAAAATGACCTGATCTTGAGCGATTTTGACTTTAAAAATGTTTTAAAAAAATCGAACAGTTTTGCTCTCAAGATAAAGTTTGTTTATATTTTGATTGTCTTGTTATTTTTATAAAGGTCTCTTCATTCTTAATGAAAGACAATATGTTTTTTTTTATTTTTATACTTTATTAATATATAAAAATATAACAAAATCAAATCAAACAGAAAATAATGATAGATTAATTAACATTATATATATATATATATATATATATATATATATATATATATATATATATATATATTTAAATAAGAACAGACCGCTTTAAGGTTCCATGTAATAAAGTTATTTCACCACAGCCCTTTTTAAGGACTGCGGATCATCAGACTTTACTTCCAAAGGTTGAAACGAAAAATGAAAATGCTTAACCTATGCCCGTCAAAAAATGTGTAAATTTCTTTTCATTTTCGTTTCAACCTTTGGAAGTAAAAGTCTGATGATCCGCAGTCCTATAAAAGGGCCGTGGTGAAATAATTTATTACATGGAACCTTAAAGTGGTCTGTTTTTATTTAAATTATTTGCTCTGGATTTACATTGAGCTCTCTGGATTTTATCCTCCTTAGCTTTACCCATACGGATTACCTAGTTTTTCATAAACTATATATATATATATATATATATATATATATATAGAAAATGATATATAAATTTTTATCTATCAGAACACTAGTTTCCATCCCTGATCTCGGAAATAACTTATTTACAACAATTTTGGTATTTGATGAGTGAGTAAATTTCCTCGTGTTCAAAAATGTCCGTACGAGTGTGTACAGGCTTGGTATTGACAAACAGAAGTTGAATGCCAGTGAACCACAATAAACAGAACGAAGACTTGATTAGAAAATGATTGGCCAATGTTTAGTGATGCACATAGATACAAGATGCGGGGGTATAGAGAATGGTCGAACTCAAGTCCTTCTGACGCTGACTGAGGGTGGCTGAATCTCCCTTTCGTTGGGACGGCTACCAAACACGTCTGAACTAAATGGTTGGGAAGTGAGAAGAGAATGATCATCTCCTCTCCAGAAGTGGAATCATAAAATTCACACGTGACCGGAAACACTTTTTGGTTTCCTTCTGCATTATGATAAAATCAAATTCTTTATTTTTTTAATGTTATTTTATTTATTAATTTATTTTAATTCACTCACATGTGTTTGTAAAAAGTATTAGAGTAATTTATGTATGTTTTGTTTTTAATATTGAATGTTTATGTGAAAGAAAAGTAGTATATATTTCTGTAGTTGTGAGGGAAAAGAATGTTTCTCTGAGTTGAGAAAAATCAAGTCCTACATGCTGGGTACTTGAAAATATATCAAAGAAATGACTGACATGGTTCCCAGTCGTAGTGTTTGAAAAAAGGACCCGGAAGCTAATTATGCTTTCCTTTATAAGCACTTTTGTTGAAACAAGTGTTGGATCAAACGGCTATCCAATCTTTTAGGCGGGCCGTTCTCTGATTGGCTGAAATATGCGATCTGAATGTCTTATTTTTATAAGTTGAAAGAAACGGAAGTTCTGCACCGAGTTACTTGCGTACGAACGTGTATTCGTCATTTGCATGTTAGACGCTGAAATATTAACTTCCTGTTTGATTAAGTTTGTGTCTCCACACACTCCGTGTAATATAGATAATAAAAGACAAAATAAACAAGTGTTGATAACAAAAGGTATTTGATATATCAGCAATATTTTTCTTTGAGAATTAGTGTAATGTTTGAAAAGAGTTTTGTCCTTAAGATAAAGTTTGTTTATATTTTGATCTTCTTGAAATATTTATAAAGGTTTCTCTCTTTATTTGGAATGAAAGACAATATCTTTTTTTTTTTATCTTTATAGTTTATTAATATATCGAAATATAATGACGTTATATCAAACGGAAAATTATAGCCGGTCACTTGTATTCGAGGATACTCGTCTACAATTTCGGCTAGCCAATCCCCATTGCAGACGCTTGCTCAGGCGCATTTGTGTTTATTCAACACCCACAGAGTCGACCTTCGGTTTGTACTGCAACTATGCTGAGCAGACCTTAGTTACAGTTTCTGGGATACAGCTTCAATACAGATATCTCGCGTCATGAGCAATTTGAAACAAGGCCAGCACGTCCAAATCCTCGGCCACGATGAATTGTGATTTCGTGCTAGCACAACTATCGACGGCCCACAAGGGTTTCATCTACCCAATTTCACTCACAAGGCAATCCGTGGTACGGTTTTCAGTCACTTTTCAAAAGTGCCACACGCTGGGATCGACCCTCCAGTACGATAACATCAATTTCAAGGGTTATTTTGTTGTACAATTTTAGTAAATGATGTGTAAGTGATATTTTAGTCTTTACACACACACACACACACACACACACACACACACATATATATATATATATATATATATATATATATACATACACACACACACACATATATATATATATATATATATATATATATATATATATATATATGGCCACTTGGCCACTCGTATTAGATGATACCCGTCTACTATGGTGGCTAGCCAATTCCATTAATTCAACACCCACAGATCCCACCTGTGGTTTATACTGCAACTATGCTGAGCAGACCTTAGTTACTGTTTCTGGGAAAGAACCTGTTATCTAGCGTGATCAATAATTGGAAGAAGGCCAGCACGCTCAAGCCCTCGGCCACGATGACTTATGATTTCATGCTAGCACACCTATCGACGGGACCAGGGGCTCCGTTTACCCAATTACATTCACAAGGCCTGGGTCAACTTTCCAAACGTACCGCACGCTAGGATCGACCCATTCAGTATGGTAACATCAGGAAGTCTTCTTCCTGACAAATCGACCATGGCGAAATTCGAACCCGGCTCTCATGGCCAGAATGGGAACCTTCTAACCACGTGATCTTTAATATATCGAAATATAATAAAGTCATATAAAACGGTATTTCCAGTTGGCACCTTTCCCCGAAAATTTAAGTTCATTGTCATTTATTTCTTTCTTTCTTTCTTTCTTTCTTTCTTTCTTTCTTTCTTTCACATTTCTTGTCTTGTAATCTTTCTTTCTTTCTTTTACATTCATTTTCATTTCTTTCTTTCTTTCTTTCTTTCTTTCTTTTACATTCCTTGTCAAGTCATCTTTCTTTCTTTCTTTTAGATTCATTGTCATTTCTTTCTTTCTTTCATGTCATCTTTCTTTCTTTTAAGTTCATTGCTGTTTCTTTCTTTCTTTTACGTTTCTTGTCAAGTCATCTTTCTTTCTTTCTTTTAGATTCATTGTCATTTCTTTCTTTCTTTCTTTCTTTCTTTCTGTTTTTCTTTCTTTCTTTTACATTTGTTGTCATGTCACCTTTCTTTCTTTTACATTCATTGTTATATCTTAGTTTTTTTTGCATTCCTTGTTGTCATCCTTCTTTCTTTTTTACATTATCATTTCTTTCTTTCTTTCTTTCTTTCTTTCTTTCTTCTTTTACATTCCTTGTCATGGTATCTTTCTTTCTTTCTTTTACATTCATTGTCATATATATATCTTTTTTCTTTCTTTCTTTCTTTCTTTCTTTCTTTCTTTCTTTCTTTTACATTCATTGTCATATATATATATCTTTTTTCTTTCTTTCTTTCTTTCTTTCTTTCTCTGTTTCTTTTACATTCCTTGTCATGGTATCTTTTTTCTTTTCTTTTTTCATATATTTCTTGTCATTTCTATCTATCTTTCTTTCTTTCTTTTACATTCATTGTCATATATATATATCTTTTTTCTTTCTTTCTTTCTTTCTTTCTTTCTTTCTTTCTTTTACATTCCTTGTCATGGTATCTTTCTTTCTTTCTTTTACATTCATTGTCATATATATATATCTTTTTCTTTCTTTTCTTTTTTCTTTTTCTTGTCTGTTTTTTTTTTTTTTTCATTCATTGTCATATATATATCTTTTCTTTCTTTCTTTTTTTACATTTCTTGTTTTTTGGTATTTTTTCTTTCTTTCTTTTTACATTCATTGTCTTACCTTTCTTTCTTTCTTTCTGTTCCTTTTTTATTCATTTCATTCTTCCATTCATTCTTTATTATTCATTCATTTTTAGCTTTTGAAACACGCTGTCTTATTTACCCTCACGTCGTTCCATACATAACAATCTATGGTAGGTTGACATAAGCAAAGAGCATTTAAAAAGAAAATCAAAGAGCATAATTTTGACGAGCTAGAATTTATTTTCAGTTCACAAGAAAATAGATGCTACCGTTAGCATCAAAGACAGAAATACAGCATTTTGAGTGCAAAACTTTCATTTTTCTTTTCATGACGAGATAAAGGACGACCTCGTTAGCTGTGGAAAGGTTACCACCCTACGCTTCGATATCGATTCTTGTTTAAATTATTCATTAACGGGCTATTAGTTTGGAAATGGTGAAATGAATACGCAATTCAGATGTTCTCAGTTCGATAGTGATATCGCATTGATTTTAAGTGCAAGTGATCGGTTGCTGATCAGAGCCCTGATAGTTGCAAAAGTATTGTTTTAAAGGTTTTTATTTTATTTTATTTTATGTTAGGGACAGAGTAGGAGTGAAGGAAAGAGACAGTATCAATTAGCCATTATTTATTTACCAGTCTGCATTGTAATTTTTCGCCACATTTATTTGATAGAATAATTATTTTATGATCCATGCGCTTGCTTTCATTGGTCTTTCTTTATTTTTTTAAAATCTTTCTTTCTTTCTTTCTTTCTTTACCTCTTTCTTTCTTTCTTTCTTTCTTTCTTTCTTTCTTTCTTTCTTTCCAATAGATACTTTTTTCTTTCTTTATTTTTCTTTCTTTCTTTCTTTATTTCTTTCTTTCTTTCTTTCTTTCTTTCTTTCCAATACATACTTTTTCTTTCTTTCTTTTTCTTTACCTCTTTCTTTCTTTCTTTCTTTCTTTCTTTCTTTCTTTCTTTCTTTCTTTCCAATACATACTTCTTTCTCTCTTTTTTCTTTACCTCTTTCTTTCTTTCTTTCTTTCTTTCTTTCTTTCTTTCTTTCTTTCTTTCTTTCCAATACATACTTCTTTCTTTCTTTCTTTCTTTCTTTCTTTCTTTCTTTCTTTCTTTCTTTCTTTCTTTCCAATACATACTTCTTTCTTTCTTTCTTTTTTCTTTACCTCTTTCTTTCTTTCTTTCCAATACATACTTTTTCGTTCTTTCTTTTTTTCTATACAGCCTCTTTCTTTTTTTCTTCCTTTTACATTCCTTGTCATGTCACCCTTCTTTCTTTCTTTTACATTCATTGTTCTTTCTTTCTTTCTTTCTTTTCTTTTCCTTTCTTTCTTTCTTTTACATTCCTTGTCATGTCATCTTCGTTTCTTTTTCTTTACAACCTCTTTCTTTCTTTCTTTCATTCCAATACATACTTCATTGTTATATTTTCTTTCTTTCTTTCTTTCTTTCTTTCTTTCTTTCTTTCTTTCTTTTTTTCTTTCTTCGAACCCACTCTCGCTTTCATTTTCGTTTGTGTCTTTCACCCATCTTTCGATTCACCTTTGTTTGTTTGTTTGTTTGTTTCTTTGTTTCTTTCTTTCTTTCTTCCAGTCATTTATTCATTTATTCTTTCATTCTTTCTTTCATTCCTTCATTCATTCTTTCTTTCATTTAATCTTTGATTGTCATATCGTCTTTCTTCCGTTTACGTTCATTATCATATAGTGTTTCTTTCTTTCTTTCTTTTTTCTTTCATTGTTTTTCTTTCTTTCTGTCTTTCTTTGTTTAATTTTCGTTGACATAACCTCTTCTCTCTCTCTGTTCATTCATTTTTCATAACTTTCTTTCCGTTAGCTGTTGAAGAATTCTTTCCCGAAAATCTGTCGTCCAAATTTTTCCTTCCAGTCATCTTCCTACAATCACCGAAGTTAAGTAACATCGATCCTCGTCGATAAGTTGATGAGTGACAGCTTGGGTACACCGGGTACTGTATGCTTCGATATGTGACTTCTGTAATGGATATTCGAAATTGGAATTCGGCTCTCCGAGTTCGAATTCCAGTCGGGTTCGTTATATTTAATTAGGCGCAAATACCCCTTGTAGCGAAGTAAATGGCGAATTACCTCGTCAAACCCAGCGATAGCGTGTCGCGTGTGTTCTACGGCGGAAGTCGGCAAATGAAAAATATGAACCGTTAATAAAAGCAAATGGTATTCTAGAAGTAGGGGGAAAATAAAAAAAAAATGGTGATTTTTTTTTTCTTCAAGGTCAACCTACATCACATCGGGGTGGTTTCCTACGGAGCCCTCCCCTTGGTTAGGTTAGATAAGCTTCTGCGTAGCTAGTTAATGTGAGTAAGAGTTGTTCCTTGCCTGTTCCCGGCTGCCTCTTTGGTTATGATCCAAGTCGAGATTCCCAACCTCCCCAGTTTGTTTTGGCTCCTTTTTATCTCGACTGGGTCAGCTTTTTATTTCCCATGTCCGTCTATATTTTCAGCTTTCCTTCTCTCTTAGAGAGTGAGAGAGCTTCTTGATTTTGTCCCATGGGCAGAATACAGCGGCCTCTCTGTTTTGAGGGTTGGACGGGCCCTATTAACATCAGTTATCTTTAGTTTACTTGTGTTCGTATTTAGGTTGTTTTGGGGTTCATTCCCTCCCCTCTCATTTTAGTCTTCCATAGATTTTTAATTATAAATTTTAGCATCATCAGATTTTTATGGCATGGGGCGCGTTTTGTAGGACTTTCTTGAGAGAATGCGGTATTATGGTGTATGGAGGATTGATTGGTGATGGACGAGTTTTTATGGTGAACGGGCAAATTGTAAAGTATGAAAGGGTCGTGAATCCGACCAGCCTCAACCTTTTTGGCCTTGTGCCGCAATTTTGTATCAAAAACACAATAAATAATACAAAAAAAACTGGTGAATTTTGCTACTTCGACATTTTTTTCTGCCCCTGACATTCGAGTTTGGATTTGTTTTTTACGTTGTGGAAGTAATCTGCGACAGATATTTACTTTGCAATCTAAGAACTCTTACAAAGACGGTTCACTGAAACGTGCGATGTAATTGTTCTCTCCAGAATCTATCTTACATATCTATAAGTCTACCATTCCTCCAGGCTTAGAATATTACTGCTACATATGGTCCGGTGCCCCTGCTATTTACCAAGGGCTCCTTGATAAAATCCAAAAGAGAATTAGCAATATTATTAGCCCTGATCTGGCATCTCAAAATCGTTCACTTTGTGACCGCAATAAGTTTGCCTATCTGTGTCTTCTCTCTCTCTCTCTCTCTCTCTCTCTCTCTATATATATATATATATATATATATATATATATATACTTTCATGGTAATTGCTCTGATGAGCTCTTCGCTATGGCAGTGTTCATTGGGGTGAGAATTTTAAATTTGTTGTTTTATCCCGCTTTCTAACACATACAATAGAAGCAGACAACAGAAACCAGTGTTGCAACGAGATACGTACATGTAGCGAAGAAAACGGAGAATTACCTCATCAAACCAAGCGTGTTCTGCGATGGAAAATGTGCCGAAAAAGAAAGTTACTTACTGAGAAAAAGGGGCACATATTCTGCATGATATGGCGAAACCCGGAATGTCCAAAATAGAAATAAGTCGGTAGCAGGACTCGCCATAAATGTTTCTCGGTTATGCTAATATTGTATGTTCTCTCCCAGCGGTTGACGAATGAAAAAAAATTTCATCGATAAAAGCCTTTGGCGTTCTCGAATTGGCGAGAAAAGTTGGTTTATCTTGCTGCCGCGGTCGTCGGCAAGTGTGTTATTTTTTTTTCTATTTACTGTCATTAGGATTTGCGAATTAGGACCTGCGAATCGAGATCTCGACATTTCTTTCTGCCCCTGATATTTGAGTTTTGTTTTCTTCGTGATGGACGTAATCTGTGACACCAATTTCTGAAGATGAATTTGAGTTCAAGCTCGACAAAACTGACTACAACCTTTGGCAAAGATATGAATCCTTTTTTTTCGCCCCACCCCATTGTAATAGATAACAATTTGAAATTGGAATTCAGGTCTCCTAGTTCCAGTTCCAGTCGGGTTCCTTATATTCACTTTCCGCACAAATACCCTTGTAGCAAAGAGAACGGCGAATTACCTATTCAAAACGAACGACAGCGTATCGCGTGTGTTCTACGACCGAAAGTGTGTCGAAATAGAAAGTTACATACCGAGAAAAAGGGCGCGTATTCGGGATGATATGCCGAAAACCGGGATATTCAAAATAGAAACAAGTCAGTCTCAGGAGTCGCCATAAAAATTATCTCGGATATGCTAATATTGTGCGTCCTCTCCCAGTTGTCGACGAATGAAAAAAAATCTTCCGTCGGTAATAGCAGTTGGTGTTCACGAACTGGGGAGAAAAAAAAAAGTTCTTTTCCTACCGCGTTCGTCGGTGAGTGTGTTACTTCTTCTGACTGTTTACGAGCATTAAGATTTGCGACTTAGGATCTGCGAATCCAGATTTCGACATTTATTTCTGCTCCTGATATTCGAGTTTGGACTTGCGATTTGTTTTTTTTTTTTTCGTTGTGGACGTAATCTGTGACAACAGTTTCTGAACAAGAATTTTAGTTCAAGCACGACGAATCTAACTACAACCTTTGGCAAAAATATGAATCCATTATTTCTCCCCCAACTATGGGTTAATTAGTAGGACTTATCAGTTAAATATTGTGTCAAAAAATTCTTACAATCTAGAAATATTTTCTGGCATTTAATAACCTTCTAAGAGTTGATAAGCCGTAAAAAAACAAATACCAGTTTAATCAATCCAGACATTTTTCTTCTTTAGGCTTCATTTTCATTTCAGGGTACGTCATATGAGAATTTCGGGTATGTCATATGAGAATTTAGGGTACGTCATATCGGAATTTAGGGTATGTCATATGAGAATTTAGAGTACGTCATATCGGAATTTAGGGTACGTCATATGACAATTTAGGGTACGTCATATCGGAATTTAGGGTACGTCATATGACAATTTAGGGTACGTCATATCGGAATTTAGGGTACGTCATATGACAATTTAGGGTACGTCATATCGGAATTTAGGGTACGTCATATCGGAATTTAGGGTATGTTATATGAGAATTTAGGGTACGTCATATCGGAATTTAGGGTACGTCATATCGGAATTTAAGGTACGTCATATGAGATTTTAGGGTACCTCATATCGGAATTTAGGGTACGTCATATCAGAATTTAGGGTACGTCATATCGGAATTTAGGGTACGTCATATCAGAATTTAGGGTACGTCAATGTTTTCAGACAAAAATTGGCTCCAACCAACAGAGGTCAGTAAAACTTTAAAGATATGTTCATATTTATATGAACCATGATATCATTTCAACTTATAATACATGCCCGTAAAGGTTGGATCAAAAGGTTTTCAGTCACTTACCAGAAGTGTCGCACGCTGGGATCGCCTCCTCTCGACCGATAACATCAAGAAGTCACCATCCCTGACAAATAGACCAGGGTGAGATTCGAACCTGCGTCTCATGGTCAGAAAGCGAACGTTCTAACCACTCGTCCGCATGAGTGAAATTGAGTACGAGGAACTCTTCGGGGAGCCGTCGATAGTTGTGCTAGCACGAAATCACAGGTCATCGTGACCGAGGGTCTGAGCGTGCTGGGCTTGTTCGGACTGCTGATCACAAAGATAACGCACTCTCTCCCATTTCATAGAAAATATGCATCGAGTAGATATGAATATACGAGAGAAAATCATGGAGAATTGTAGTTTAAAAGCAGTAAAATCGACCTTGCTACCTCTTGAAACTTGACTAATGCATGGAATAATAATGCAACACAAAATGTACTTAGAACAAAATGTATTGAAACAAGAAAGTGTACACAATATTTACATATAGTCTTTTGTATATTCCTGGTAAGACCGTTCCTGGAGAATGTGTTGACTGAGTCGCAGTCGGGCAGAGTCTCTGGTTGAATCTCTTGATTCCTCCCTCTCTTCCCGATACCAACCATATTTATATGGTCGGTACTCCACTATGCAAATTAGGTGGATCCTACCACAACACTAACCAAAACGCTGTGGCTCAATCGGTAAAGCGCGTCAAGCTACATGACGGTTCCGTATAGGGTACAAGTTCGATTCCTGTCGGAGGACGCATATTTTCTATGAAAATTTCTCGGACATTCAGGTCAGTAAATGTCGTTAATACTGTTTATTGTAAGCAGAGCATTTACTTAAATATTTGTATCTATGAAAAGAACGTATAAACATAAAAATGTCTTAAAATATCTATCTATCTATCTATCTATCTGTATATATATCTATCTATCTATCTATCTATATATATATATATATATATATATATATATATATATGTATATAGGTATGTGTGTGTGTGTGTGTCAGAAATATACGCAGATCCTGAAAAAGGCCCAAGTGTTCAACGGCTGAAACATCGTCAATATGACAATAAAGATGATTACAACAGTCCGAACAATATAAATAGTGTAAATAGTCAAAATATCTCTAAAATATAGACAGACTAGCTTAAAATCTACCCTATCGGGCGGCAATTAAATTAACTCCTGACTGGGCCTTCGACTTGTTCAGTAGTTTGAGAGTCTCCAAGTCTTTGCATATTTTCAGCATTTCTAGCTCTCATGCCT